TTCGAAGGTTTGGCAGGTGCAGGGCTGCTGGGGCAGCAAAGCTGGCAGTGCCAGATTTCTACAATTGAGCTACTAGTACCTCATTGAATGATTTCTTGGTTTCAACATGTTCAAACATTAAACATGACAATTGACAAACATGTGTATAATTTTGAACGAGGGGAGATCACAGGAAGTGGAGTTAAAGGTGATCCCGTTGGGGAGCACTGATAGTTTCAATGACAGTGAACTGGGAATTTTAAATAATCTGTGTTCTTTTTAAACCTGCAAGCAACAGGTGTCCATGAAAGTACCTATTTTATGTGACCTTTCCAGGATACGTTCTTTGTGATTGTTGACGCGTTTAGACTTCCGTTGTAAAAGGAAATAACAAAATAATAAAAGATAAAAGACAACCAGAAAGCAAGAATGAAAGGAACACATCTAACGGGTCTGAAACAAAGAACACCAGAAAAAGACAAACACACACACACAGTACTCGCCACTTAGTTTCCCGACGTTCTGTTGTACTTCCTTCTGTACGGGGCAACTCCCACTGTTGCTCCACCGTCAAAGTGCCAAGACTTGTGCTCGCTTTGAGTGCTTTGCTGGCTCTTCGCTGGTTGCAGGCCTCTCGGAGAGAGATTCGATCTTCGCTTGCTCCATGCTCTTCTTGGCACTAATGCTCGATGGCATGGGCCTCACTGGGCGGGTATGACAGTGTGGTGAATGTATGACAGGAGACTGAAGGAAGTTGAGAAGGAATGCGTACTACTAGGAGCAAGAAGCTACTGGGGGCTCCTGGCCTTACTACTAGGAGCAAGGACGCCACTAGGGGCTCCTGGCCTTGCTACTAGGAGCAAGGACGCTACTAGGATCAAAGGGCATCGCTACTAACAAGTGCATTACTACTGTTTCCCTTCAGCTCCTTTGAGCAGAATAGGAGGTTCACAGCGGTATGCTTTGTTGAAGTAGACTGAATTGCTTTGTTGGGTGCAACCACAGATGTATTGTGTGGCACCGTAGTACTAAAATTTCTACTTCCCTTTTGTTTTTTGCAAAGCTTGAGAGATCCCGTCTAAGATAATCTAGATGTGTTTCTTATCTCAAAGCTGCTTTTTCTAGCATAGTGATGGCCATGTGCGCCGTCTCACACCATAGGCTGCATTGGCCGAGATGATTGGGCCTTCATCCAGCGAGCTGCCAGGAGTTCAGGGACTACTCCAGGTTAAGACTCACTCGGGCCAGTGGATCCATCATGTTTAATTGTTTACATTTACATTGTAATAATTAGTTTCAATTGACTTGAAAGGACAACGAACATTCTTGTGACTTCAACTTTCGGCAGCGACTGGAATCATCAAATGGGAACAACGTTAGCTTTTTCCCAATGCACTGAGTTGCCTTTTTGGCCATTATCAAGTCAAGCACGCTGTGTTACATTTTTGCCTATAACAGCCACGTAAGGGCAGTAACTATCTTTTGCTTTAGCATTTTTTCCCTTACTACATGTTGGAGGCCATCGATGCCATCGCTAGTAGGTTGGAGGCCATCACTAGTAGGTTGGAGACGCCATCGCTCTTAGGTTGGAGGCCATCGCTCTTAGGTTGGAGGCCATCGCTCTTAGGTTGGAGAGGCCATCGCTCTTAGGTTGGGGAGAGGCCATCGCTCTTAGGTTGGGGAGAGGCCATCGCTCTTAGGTTGGAGACGCCATCGCTCTTAGGTTGGAGACG